GGGGGGGGGGGGGGGAAGTCTTCAGGAAAACATAACTTTAACCATTATTGTTAGCAAGGAATAACCATGAACAATAACTTAATACTCTTCCTACAGAATTTCAAAGAAAATTTTTAGTTGTAAAAATAAAATGTAAAAAACAAAGAGCATTCAAAGATATGAAATGTGCTGTTCTTAACAAGAAGCCTGTTGGTTTGATAGTTTGTTGATTGTGAAGCTGTACCAGTGCATCTATAGAAGTGTTTAGTGAGACAATAAATGTCAAGGCCTGACTGATTAACAAGATAGATTAAACAGAAATCCAGCTAACTGCTAATGAAACTCCTCGACACACATGTCAGGCTCTCTAATGAATTCTAATAGATCTCTGTTTCAAGGTTATCCAGATACCAGTCAACCTTGATCTGGTTCTTAAATCTCAAATCAAATTTATTTCATTGCCTGCAGCAGAAAATTGTACGTAATATGATCACGACAATTGTGATACATTATATGTGAAATAGTATTCCAGTTATTCAATAAATCCAATTTTTCACAAACTCCTTCAGTGGAGCAACGTTGACCTAGGTGGTGTGTACATACATACATAAGTCACTCAGATACTGCCAATTAATTGGCCTCTCAAAACTTGAATTTGTCCTGAAGAAAAGTTGATACTCTTCCAAAAATTGCCCTTTCTAGTGAGGTTATATTTAAACATGATTCCAGATTACACTTCGGCAGGCATGACTATCTGTAAATTGGTCAATTTCATTGAAAATGCATGTCTAACACATGAAATATCTTCAAACAAGTTTTGAAACCAATAATTTGTCTTGATAGAGAAGCATTGCTTTCAATATATACTTACATATATCTGGTCATGTGCGAAGCGTTGTTGGATGTTTTCAATGTACGCATCCTCTGTGAGCGGGTCTAGCAGAACTGCATCACTGACACCGACATTGTTCTCCAAGATTGAAAGGGTGATTACCTGGTGCAGCGCCATGGCAACAGGTCAGTTACCACCTGGAATGAAAATAGGAAATTCAAATAAATATTATTTTGTAGCATATCTGAAAAAGTTCTCCATTATTTACCATGTTATCTCAATAACTCAGATGTGAGCAAAGTCTATACAGATTATGATTGAAGTCTTCAGGAGTAAGAAAGCATCAGGCTTCAACGTTCTTTACAAAATGTTGAATTCAGTTTTTAAAATACATAGATATTCGACTTACTATGAAATAGGTCAAGGTCATTTTTTGGGGAAAACTTTATAGCCAGTTGCCTGCAGGCCAAACATTATGAAATGTCATTTAAATACAGAGCTGATGGGTACAAGATGGATACAAATACCCTACCAAACAGTTAGCTCGCTGTGGCACTTTACACCACTAAGGTGAGCTAAAAACTCACCAGACCTTGCTTTCTTTAAAATTTGAAAATTAACCATAAAACATTACTCACTCCATATGGAACCACTCTTTTTACAAACTAAAAATACATCCAACAAATATACAACTGTAGCTGCATGTACAATTTTACATTATGTTTATTAGAAATAATCTCATGATTTTATCACAAACATGTCTTTAAAGACAAGATTAGGTGCAGAGATTGGATGTTTATTCTCGTTTGACATAATTCAGAATCAGATCCCAATTTTTTTCTCTCTCACATATAATGTTTTTCTTTTTCTGTTGAGTTCCCCCCCC